CACCGAAACCCATCTAAAGTCGGAAGTCAACATGTACCTATCGGACTTTCGTGTCTTGAGACTCGACAGAACCAGTGTAAGAGGAGGGGGAGTAGCCGTTGCTGTGAGGCGTAACATCAACTGCCACCTGCTGCCGAACTTCCAACTCAAAATTATCGAAGCCATTGGGGTTGAAGTCGGCACATCGCTTTGCCCCATCATCATCATTACGGCTTACTGCCCCAGACAAGTCAACAATAGCAATGGGTCGGCAGCGGACCTTTGACGAAATATCATCAAGCTGACTAGGCGGCGAGAAAAATATATCATTTTTGGCGACCTGAACGTCAAACATCAAGCCTGGGGCAACAACTGGCGCAATCAAAACGGCACCATCATGAACAAAGCGCAGTACAACATATTAAGTCCGGACACTCCCACCCGGTTGAGTAGGTCCGGTGCTCACGCCTCCATTGATATCTACATCAGCAACATGGGCAACATGTCGCAACCTGTCGTGCATCAGGAACTCAGCTCGGACCACTATCCGGTGGTGACTGAAGTAGGTTCCTCAGTCAGCAAGTTCCTAGCATCGCGACGAAACTACCATCGGGTAGATTGGTCGCAGTTCCAACACTGCGTTGACACCAGTATCGACTATGACGTCAACCCGGAAACGACCGATGACATCGATCGGTGTCTGCCCTTCATCGATGAAGCAATTTCCCGGGCCAGGGGCAACATGTTCCAGTATCAAGACAGGTGAGTAATACTCCGAACCTTGGCAGGCCCACTAAAGACCTTATTACACTCCGCCGAACGACTCGCAGGCAGTACCAGCGTACTGGGCTGCCTAACCTGAAGACCAATTGCAACCGTTTGAACAAAATCATCCAAGCCAGGATGGTGGATCTCAGAAATGTCGATTTTGCAAACAAGATTCACTCTCTCAGAGTGAGCGAAGTCATTCTGGAAAATGGCAAAGATTTAAAAAAAATAAGCCGAGGCTTATCCCTTCCTCATCAGAATTCGGATCCATCCTTACTCATAACCCCAGTTGAAAAGGCCAATGCTCTTGGTCAACACTGTGTGAACTCACATAACCTTGGCCATGGTGAGTCCCACGAGCCTGCACTATCGGTATCATTAAAAACTACTTGTCAGGCAGATCATTCCAGGTCTTCTTATACAATTCACCATCTGATACGTTCAACGTTGATGCTGGGGTTCCCCAGGGTAGTCTGCTTGGTCCTATTCTCTTCAACATCTTCACGTCAGATGTTTCTCCCCTTCCGGGTGGTGGTATTTTGTCAATGTTTGCGGATGACACTGCCATCATATATAAGGGTCGAGTGATCCGTGCTCTGACGAGGTCTGGATGTTCTCCAATCTGGCCTGGATGTTCTGTCCGACTATTTCAAAAGCTGGAAAATTTGTATCAATGCAGCTAAATCACATACCATACTATTTTCGCACTCCTATTCACCTCGGCTTGTCCCGCCTGGCAACTTAAAAGTTCACCTTGATAATACTCCCATAGAGTGGTCCAATGAAGTCATCTACCATGTTCTCACCCTTGATAGCAAGTTGCTGTTCCGTTCCCAAGTGGACGAATCATCCATCAAGTGCAACATCTTGATTGGGACGCTCTATCCACTTATCAACAGAAAGTCCACCCTTTCCATTAAAAACAAGCTTGCCGTCCACAAACATGAAACTAATATTCTGCCCAACAACAACTCAGCAGCACGAGACTCCTTGAACTGTGTCTCAGAGTCGGCGCACTACTGGGCAAACTGGAGGGGCTACGCGGATGAAAAGGCACTCAAGCTTTCAATTAAACTGAAACACAACGCGGATCAATTTAAACACTGTATTTCTCCAATTACCGATAGTGTGGATTGTGTGGTGTTGTGTTCGATTTTCTTGGCACATACCCTTGATGAAGATGGCGACTACGATGACTGCAGACCAGCGAGCGCTCGCTGTGGTTCCGGAAAGATCCTTAAAGGCCGATCTTGTCGGCTAGATGGCGGTACCACCGCTCGGTGAAATTGCGGTACAATTCCGACAATGGCGGACAAAGCGAGGCTGACCGAACGTCGGCCGTAGTGCGATGGCGGGTTGGTTTTACCGGGCTGCTATAGCGGTTTGTGGAGACGGTTCCGATGCACAGGCGCTTCCTTCTGACGAAGCCGGTCGTCTGTCGAACCGGAAGGGAAATTCTCGTTGGCGTTTAGGGCCTTCAGCCCGAGAACGATGTCCTTTACGGTTAGGTCAAGGTAACTAATTGTCACCTAGACCGTAGCGTGCAATGGCGGTCTTTGACTCGCCAACCAGAAAACCATTTGATTGGTTGAAAAGAAAAGGTCCTAGCGAGGAGGTAACATCCATTAGTGCCTTGGACCAATTTAGAGGAAGACTTCGACTTAACCTGAATCAGCTGAATCGGTGATTTCCACTTCACCTTGATTCACTACTCGCACTGTATTCTGTTAAAATGTATTCCACAGACACTTCTAGTCTACACGCTCGCCTGAGATAAAATGAACGATGGCCGTTCTCTAAGCATCGCAGAACCCTTCAGCTCATCACCCGTGACTCCGTGTCACCATTTTGCCGCGGCCATGCGCGCCTTATTCAGCAGTCGGCCGTTAAGCATGGCCGTATCGTCTGCCCAGTGGATTTCACCGCAAGTGTTACACAAATTTATTTGAATGCTCGATCACATGGTGTATATTTAAAATATTGTATTGAACCTTTGTAACAGAACGGTTACAAGCAAATCATCCGCCCCGCCATTGAGTACGGAACGCCAATATGGGAGAGCTGTGCCAAGTTTTTTTTTTTTTTTTTTCTTTATTTTTGTGATTTTTAGCCGTAGGCTAGTTCATCACATCGAGCTGTGCCAAGTGCCATCACCTAAAACTCCAAAGGATCCAGAACAAGATCCTTAGGATGATCCTCAAGAGTCCTCCGCGGATTCGAAATTCTGAGATCCACCGCCTGGCTGGGCTTCAGACACTGGAGGAGCGGAGTACGCTCATCCTCGAAAGGTTCAGAGACGCCTGTCTGAGATCAAATCACGAGATCATACGCAATCTTGCTAATTAGGTTAAGTTATTCGTAGCTAGGTAGGTTATCAAATTATTTTCAAATTCAAGCAAAACACACCCCTATCTTGTAAACTAGTTGAAAAACGTAAACACGTAAATAAGAATAGCAAACTAAACAAAGATAGGGGCCTTCCTTAGCTCAGTCGGTAAAGGCGCAGCTACAAAGCAAGACCATGCTGGAGGTGGCTGGGTTCGATTCCCGGTCCGGTCTAGGAATTTTTCGGGTCGGAAAATTTCTCGACTTCCCTGGGCATAGAAGTATGATTGGACTTGCCACACAATTATACCAATGCAAAAATGGTACAGGCATCGAAAGCTCTCAATTAATAACGGTGGAAGTGCATCTAGAACACTAATTTGAGAGCACGCAATAAGCTAATATGCGATATGCAATAAGCTTGAAATGCGAGGAGGAAGGAAGGAACTAAACAAAGATGAAGAGCCCTTCAGGCTAATCAATTGGAATGTATGACCAATGTAAAACCATAATTGTTGCGAGAAAACGCATCGGCTCATCCCTCACCAAAAACATCATATGATACTGAGTGCACTATAGTCTGTAGTGAGTGCTTTTTGTTTATAGTTAAGGAGATACCGTGCTTTCGCTTTGATTACAACCTGAAGAAACTGTAACAAGAGAAGTGATATGGTAATTAGAAGCGAACGCACGGGCGTAGTAAATAAGTAACTAATTGCGCTACTTATTCGCTATGAATAATCACTGAAGATGTGAGTTATTTAAATTATAATTATTTGACATATTATTTGTAAGAGCTAATAAATTTTACAGCTTTACAGCGTAGGGCAACAGTAGAAAACTACGCATTTTATTGTTCGTCCCACTAGAAGAATCGGTGCCCGTGACTTCGAAGCTTCTATTTTCAATAATAATTAATGGAAAATAAACGTAATTTTACTATTTATTTCGTCGTTCTCAAATTTCGCTTCTGATTTCGCTCTCACCAATCCCACCTTGGAACATATATAACGCTTGGTTTCGATGGCATTTCTTTTGATGTATACTTTTGACTCCTTTGTTCTCGAGCTGGTGATGTTTACATAACAAATTATTGAATTTATGTTACAATTTTGGAAAATGGGATACAAATCATATATTAATTATAGTAGTCTTTTAACTTATACTAGTTCCACAGTATACAACTGATGCTGCGCTTATAAGAATTTCCATCAATAATCAATAATCAATACACACTTAGAAAAAATCATGTAAATATAGGTGCTCTGAGGCTGACATATACGAGCGTTAATTTTGACATAAAATTGAGTCATAACAGACGCGCAATTCAACTCAATAAAATCTACTTTTCGTCGAGTAACGAACTTTTCCGTCTCGGAGCACTTAATTTTACATGAAATATTTGTTTACGTCTGATCCTTTATGTCAAAGATGGATTCCGTCACATGTAAAATTAGTTATTTCTAAGTGTGTAGATCGAAAATGAATCATGCGCTTATAGAAATTTATCATACTGCAGTTATCGTATTCATGATTCAAATTATTTTTATGTATGCTTTAGTAGATCCAAAGTTCCAATTAAACAATCAAAGGCGTTTGCAATTTGCAATTTTTGAATCCTTCCTGCAACTTTTGGTTGGCCAGTGCCAACCAGAGCGCCACCAACGGAGTCCGGTGTTGGCTGTTGGAGGCGTTTCGGAACATATGCTTTCAAGAGATTATACCATAACTTTCATCCATTCAGTTGACAAATGGCAACCCATCCGGATGCACAAGTCTGTGAACATTTAATTAATTCCCCCGACTCTTAATCTTCCCATTGAAAAACCATACAGTACATTGCATTTACTGTACCAACCATGCCCAAGCCACAGTCTGAAATCCGAGTAAAACTTTTCCATTTTTCTCTTTCCCACTGCCATCAACAGCCCACCGCCGGATGCGAACGGTGACCAACTATTTCCTGCTGAATCTGAGTGTGGCCGATCTGCTGATGTCGTCCCTGAACTGTTCGTTCAACTTTATCTTCATGCTCAACTCGGACTGGCCGTTCGGGGCCGTGTACTGCACCATCAACAACTTCATGGCCAACATGTCGGTGGCGTCGTCGGTGTTTACGTTGGTGGCCATCTCGCTGGATCGGTAAGTTTCTTTTTCTTAATTCATTTTCGGTTAGATGGAACTCGGATTTGCAGGAATAGCGAGCGGAAAAGGCATTGAATTCGCCGTGGTTTCTTTCGAAAAATTTCCCTTAATTCAAAATATATCCACGGGGTAAAAAAAAACTTAATTTGATGTTGAATTTGCACTACTTACCAAACATTACAATTCGATGTGCAGATCCCTTGGAAGAGCACGATGAAATCAACAGCAAAGCACTTCATTTGAGATTGTATTGCACATCGTTGTTGATGTACTGTGCTTTGAACTCGAAATATCAACCATACGGATTTTAACAATCTATCACTTTAAGTTTAACTAATTTATCTAATATATAAATAAGTATTCCTTGTTCATACTGCAAGCCTTGGTATATGATATTCAGAATATGACCATAGAACATGTATCATATTACTACCCAGATCACATGTTTCCAAGTGATATTGAGCAACATTGCAAGGCTTGTAAATAGTAGAAGCAAAACGAGACATTCAGCAATAAATTCGAAAGGTTTGACAATGTTTTGTAATAGAGGTTCTATTATACACTAATATTGAATACAGCATCAATTTCATCATACTTACGCTCTAGAATGCAAATTATTTCGGGTGGAAATGAAGAATTATTGCTTCTCTTGTTGTTGACTTGCCATCTGTTCGATACGAGAAATGAAGAAACTCGCGGACACTCGCGGGAAAATCGTGACTCCGCCGACACGGCAATCTTGTGGGCACCAAGAGAAGGCAAACGGACCGAGTCTTTCTTCCACCGAATAAAAGTCTTCAACACTTCGTATTTAGAACGATGTTGTACTACCTATATTGTACGACCGATAGCAACGTGTGTACTTCCAGATCGGTGACCGGGTGGAGATCAACTGTCTTCGTAATCGGAGTCACAAGCTGCCCCACGCCACCAAGGTTGACGTGTTCTGGAGAAACTTGTAAATTTAGAAGTTTTTTTTATATCTTTATTAAGGAGACTTTCAGCCCTGGGCTGGTTCGTCTCCGAAAATTTGGACGTTGATGAAAGGACTCTGTCGTCAAATTGAATTGCGGACAGCTATCCAAGATAACCCTAGCAACGACCCGAGCTCCACAGTTGTCCTCAAAGTTGACCAGCGCCGTGCACAGTAGAACTGTTTCGTTGGGAAGCTTCGCCGAGTGTGCCACCAGCGCCGCAGGTGAGTTCGATTGTGGCTGAGACGAAGTGGACAGGGGTGCGACTGGTACTAATGCAGACTGATGGACGGACACAAGAGTTGAGGTAGAGTTCGATCCACTAGGGACAGTTGTAGGATGGGTCAAAGCGGAATCAGGTGGACAGGTGGAGGGAGGCGTAGATTGCTGACCGCTGTTGGTGTTGGGCGACGATGCTGAACAATTCGACTCCAACGGTTGCAGATGGATGAGCGTATGATGACGTTTCTTGCATTTTCAGCAGCCATCCGAAGAGCAGTCTTTGCAACCATGCGAAGTGGGTTTTCATGCAATTCAAGCACAGGTGATGTTGTTTCATAAAATCGAACGCGTTGTCTTGGAGATAGTTTGCGAAACTTGAAGCACTGGTACCGTTCCGATTCAAATTTCGGACGATTCAAATTTCGGACACTTTCATTTTTAATTAAATATTACATCCAGTTAGAAACAAAGTAATAATGTTAAATGATCGTGGAGGGCACTAGTCAAAAAAATTTAAAATTTACAAGACATGTGGATCATATTCGACCGAGATAATCAACTTTTAAAAGTGTCCGAAATTCGAGTTTAAGTGTCCGAAATTTGAATCGGCACGGTACAGAAAATGATCGCTTCCGCACTGCAAACACTTGCGACCGCCTGTTGGTTCCCCAGACGACGATTGAGCAACATGCAACGTTGAATGCTTCGGTAAAGACTTTACCTTGACTTCACGGGAACGACCAATATTGGGGGCGCGAGCTTGAAGAACGCGAGCATGACCTTGCAGAAACATTACCATATCCGAGTATTTTGGCATCTGGTTGTTCTGCGGCTCTTCCTTCGCAATCACATTGCGAACAATATGGTTTTCCCATTCACGGAGTGTGTTTTGGTCTAAGCGGAGGCTGAGCTGATAAGTAGACGAGAATTGTACTCCAGGTGTCCGTTGGTTCCCCAAGCTTTTTGAGGATGGCGATGTTCCGATCGAAGCGGTCGACAAGGTTCAGCAGTCCCTCTGCCGATTCTTGCTTCTTCGGAGGAGTGTCGGAGAGCTCCGCGAGATGGCATTTTACCACTATCCGCTTGTTGTCGTACCGGTTGACTAAACGCTTCCAGGCTTCAGCGTAATTTTCGTCACTGATGGGAATTTCCGCAATTAGACCCGCTGCTTCACCTCGTAAAATACTCTTCAGGTACTGGAATTTCTCCGAAGAACTCAATTCGCCAGACGAATGAACAGCAGCATTGTACAAATCGTGAAAAGAACGCCATCCGGGAGGATTTCCTGAAAATTCTGGAAGCTTCAATTCGGGGTACTTGATGTGGTTGGTGAGGGGAGTATTTCTCCGAGACGTCGACGGAACATTAAGCGGCTTCCGTTCCAACAAACGAGCCAACTGCGCCTTCAGCTCGTAGTACTGAGCTTCAAACCTGAACAGCTGCGTCTCGTACTCGACTGCTGGTTCCGGGGACGGCAGTAGCTGGAGCTGAATGATCACCTCAACGTACTGATTGTAGAAGCACTCCAATTTTTCCAACCTGACCTGTACGTGACCCGCATGCAAATTGGCATCGTACGATTCGAGAAAAGTTTCGATCGCATCCACCGAAGAGATGAGGTAGTTTCCTCGGACATCGTACTCCAACCTCTTGGCCTCCATTTCCTTGGCTCCATAGCTAGCGCCACAAAATATCAACGGAATACAAAAGGAACGAACCCACCTGGTGAAAATACTATCGAAATGTCGACGGCACTACTTGGGGCTTCCTTGCGACGATGTGCAGAATTTTCGCCGGTTTACACCAACCGATGAATCTGCTATCGCTGGCTCGATCGGCAACTATTATCTTCGGCTCGTTAGCCCTTTTCACAGCACTTAGGTCTTCGCCAATAGTTGGCCACGTAATCAAACACCTGGATCAAATATTCTTCGCCACGCGGTGGTAATTAATCACGGCACTTGTTGCTCAAGGCAAGAAAAATCGCTCTCCAAATGGTTCGGAGAATTTTCACAATGCCACAATCGAAACTTTCAATTTTCCTCGATTGTTCACAATCAGTACACAATCGCCCTAGGCGAACAAATTCACTAGTGCGTTCTTGGCGCTTTCACAACCTTTTTTCAGCGTTCAATTTTCTGGACCACAAAGCCCGTTTGGCTTCTTTGTTTGCTCACTATTACCGGCGAACTATTGTTCCATTTACTGGTCACAGGCCAGCCGCAAAATGGCTTTTCTCAGCGTCACTTTGGCACTAGCACTTTGGTCCAAGATCCGGCTCGAAGGACCATGTTCGATACGAGAAATGAAACTCACGGGAAAATCGTGTCTCGGTCCGTTTGCCTTCTCTTGGTGCCCACAAGATTGCCGTGTCGGCGGAGTCGCGAGTTTCCCGCGAGTGTCGGCGAGTTTCTTCATTTCTCGTATCGAACACCATCTTTGCGAGTAATGTTTAGCATGTGCGTTTTTGACATTTGCTTCTAAAAGCAAAACTTATCAAATTCAATGGATGAAAACAGTGGTGCCAATTCAAATGATGATCATTTTGATTTAACAGTACATATTTTTCAACAACAAAGCATTTTGCTTCAAAACGCAAATCACTTGAAAATCAATGATAAATCACTTCGATTCGTAGTGCCGCATGACAGACTAAGTCAAGTGCAAGAGCATTTGGATTAGATGTGACCACTTTTTACCGTGCATGGATGTAAGCCACCGATTCCATCGGATACACGGCCAATGATATCAACCCAAATTTGAGTTCAGTTTACTAATAATCGCAGAAAGTGCAGCAACTCAGCACTGAGTAAATTTTCCTCCTGAGGAAAACCTATAAGAAAATTGACGAAAATTTTACTCAGTCTAGGAGTAGTACCAATAGACTAAGGGAATCCAATATAAATTTTTCTCATATTTGGGATTTTTCCTGGAAAAAAAACTGGAAAAACATCAGGCAAATTGACTCATCGCTGAGTTCCTGCTCTTTTTGCGATTTATGAGTAAATTAAACTCAAATTAAGGTTGATTTCATAGGCCGTGTAGGGGTACCACACATCTGATCGAAGTGTTTAAACTCTTGATTTTTCATATGCACAAACACATGTATTGTAAGTGTGTTTCACCATGGTTCAATGTGTTAAACACGCTGATTTCTAGTGTTTGAAACTTTGAAATGTTTATAATCTTTCTCTATCAATTTAAGTGTATTGCACATTCAATCACACTACTGTTCAAAACAGATGGATTTGAAGTGTTTTGTATTTCAATGCAACGTGAATTGCTTAAGCACCGAAAACAATCATCCTTACACTGAAAAAAATTGACATGTACCGTTTATTGGATCCATCATAGCAATGTCAGCAGATTTATTCATTCTATGTGATGATTGATAGATTTCATTGGATTATCACTTAAAAACTATAACTGCGATATGGAATGATTTCTATAGTAATTTCACATACTTAGTACTTGATAAAACTTGCTTCGAACGTGGTTAGCGATAGGTAAGACGTATTTGAATATTGAGCGGTTCCACGAACAAGTGGGAAATTTTTCCAGTTTTTATTTTTTGTATTTTTTGATTTGCATGAAACCTTGCATACAAGTTTTTGGGGAAGAAAAACGCCGTTTTGCATACTTGGTTCGCCATTTTGAATCTAGCCTTACTTATGAGAAGGGCCTATGAAAAATGCACATGATATCTTCAAAAAATTGTATCTCGGAAACGGTTTGTCCGCTTGGTTTGGTGTCTTGGGCGAAATTTTAGACAATTGTTGGTGTTATATGGAGAAAATATGC